ACATTTTTGGTATAAACTAATCTTTTCAAAGTTAAAATCAGAGTTATACCAACAAAAACTGTGTTTACCTTATGTCATTGGCCAGTTCCAGCTTTTGCTTTCTTGGAGAGATCAGACGCATTAGAAACTACTTTTTAAGAAGCACTTCTCCTTTCCAGGTGCTGAGGGTTAAGGAGGAGTTGAGCATTTATGGCATCTTCTTTTTTTTTTTAATATAATTTTCACGAAAGACTACTTCTTTTGATGTGTGATGTGTATTTTTTACCATTTCCAATTGCAGTAGAACATTTTTCTCCAACTTTTGTGACTTTTCTTGGGTATTCTCACATCATCTCTTGACAGCAATAGGTGTCTCATTGCTCTGGGACTCAGTATCACAAGAACTTGATTGACTCAGTTTGGGATGATGGAGTTGCCTGGATGATAGGAAGGAAAGACCTTGTATAGTTCTGTTACTCTGCTTTTTTCTTTTGCTACCAGCAATGTCATGATTCCCAGCTTTCCTTTATCTTTCATTTCACTTCTGACTGCTCTTTGCTTTTCCTCTTCATTCTCTTTTGTTTGTTCTCTTTTGCACCTGTCTTCTCTGCAGGAAGACATTTGGTATGTGGGGAGGTGAGGAGGCCTGTTACCAGTCAAAATATCTTGTATTTTTCCACTCCTTTCCTTTTTCACACTTCCTGCTCCACTTCTGACAGCAGTGAAGCTTCCCAGTGTGAAAGCCTCCCTCCTTGCTCTCATAGTGGGGACAGCACTAAGGGCAGTCATCTTTCCATCCCTGATGGGACTCTGCAGCGGGCAGTCTTTTTTTGTATTATGTTGTATTCTAAGTCAAGTTAGACTAAAGTTGATGGTGTTTTTTATTTTTTTTTCTAATCTCAAACAAGACAAACTTTATTTGAACAAAAATTTAAAAACTGAGTTTTTAAATTGAGAAACCTTAGAACCCATGAAAAAGGCAAGCAGGAAGTTAAAAAATCCCAACAATTTCTGCTCTTTCGGGTGAGTCCTTGCTTTAGCTGATTCAGTAACTTCCTGAGTTATAGCAAACTCTATCCAGGCTCCTCATGTCTGGGAAGTTCCTTTTGTTCTTCCCTGAGCTGGCAGGCTCCTTGGTGCTCCTCGGCATGCTCTCTTTCCATGCAGTGGTTTCATTGCTTCATGTATTGCCTTAAGCATCCCATAATCACAATAATCCACTCTCCAAAGATGTTCTTCCCTCTTAAGTTCTGGCTGAAAAAGAAAGTAAAAAACTTAGAAGCAGTACATAGAGAAGAATCTGTCCCACAGCACCTGGGCAAGAGGGGTTGTCTTGAGCATTGGTGAGTGTATGGGGGAAGAGTAGATACAGTTCCAGTTGTTTTGTTAGAAGGAAACTCCTGGTAAAATAAAATGAATGTAAAGCAGGATTCTGAATATCATTACTTTTCTGGGATTTTGGAAGAGAAGTTTCATAGTTAAATCAGAATATAATTTTATTTAAATGTCCCTAGTGAGTATGATGTCATTATTTATTTATGCCAGTGCCTGCACTTAGCTAACCACTTTCCATACATTCAGGAAAAGACAGTCCCTGGCCTGAGAAATTGCAGTCTAGGGCTGGAGAGAGGTGAATATATACAGATTAGCTATATTTGTTGAATTCCTAATAAATCAGGAAGATTTTATTGCTTGCTTTGATGTGATAATGATTGCTTATCTGATACTAATGGAAAAAATTGCTTATGATTGATCTATATGATCTAAGAAGAGGGGTTTTTATCTAGATTAAGAAAGATTTCCTATACTGTAATACAGTTGCACAATTTGATCTGTATTTACTAATAGGTCTGAAACATGAGTTGTGCTAAGACTAGCAATGTGCAAAAATGTATATCTTAACCTGAAGTTCTAAGGTAAAACCACTCTTGCTGTGGATTTAAGAGGAACAATTTATCAGGCAGGTGTGATATTTAAAAAAAGCTAAGGTTGCAGTTACACTTGCAGAAAGACTGATTGGCAGGGAGGAAAAGTAAGGTGCTGGTGATCTGTGTGGGAAGGGGTCTTTCTTGTGATGTCGAAGTGTTCAGTGTGCTGGAGCAGGGTGTGTGTTGATTCTCTTTCCTTTTTAGTTCTCTGTACTTCAGGTTTTAGCTTGTCCTCTGCTCCCTCAGAGATATTACTGAATTGTGAACTGAAATAATTTTTCCCATTGGGTCCTGCTAAGACAAGTTTCTCTATAATCTGTTTTATTACCATTAAAAAATATCTGCTAATACTTTTTTTCTTTTTAGCACCTGCATGGAAGGTTATGCTTTAACCTTCTGTGTTAGAAGGTTAGGTGCTTTGCCCATAGTATGGTAGGTGGTATGGCTGTGCTTGTTTCACAGTATTTCCTTATGTGCAAGTCATCTCTTGTCTTCAGTGAGTGCTTTGTACTGCAGACCATGGCCCTTTTCCTCCCTGTCAGACCCACTGGTAAGTGATGCTCATTCTTGCAAACGTATTGGTTACAGAAGGCAGCTGCCTGACCACAGCAGTGACTTGAGTGCTGCTTTTTTTCTTTTCCCATGCTCACAGGCTGAAACCCAGGAGCTGTGAGAACCTCCTGCACAGTGCGAGCTGCAGGACATCCCTGCAGAAATTCTGTATTGAGTCCTATGTTTGTCACTGAGCTGCAAGCATGCCTTCTAGGAAAGTATGTCATCTGAGAGGCTGCAAAAAAATACTGATTTACAGTAATCTCAGTTTAGTTGTTCCAATGGGTACCCTTAATTTTAATTAGAATTCCTTTGGCTAGTGATTTTCATGTTAGGTTTTGTTGTGTTTATGATGGTCTAATAAGCTAAGAAAGCATCCAAACCCTTGTTTTCAAACTGTATTTTTAAGAAATGCAACTCTGGAACATTCTTGTGGCTTGTTGATAAAATTTTTTGGCTTTCTATATTCTTAAATACTGACGTTGTACTCAGGTTCCAATATCTGAATTACAATCTCAGCTGACAGAAGGTATGGATTTTCAGAAAGTCTTTCTCCCAAAACAGAACAGAAAGAGAAGATGTTGACAATTTCTATAAATATAGGCTCAAAAGTAATCTTACAGCAAACTTGAGACATTTAATTACAGTTTGACTTTTAATAGTTTTTATTTTTAAAAATTTTAATATGATGTGATGTCACCAAATATGCAAAAATCATATTGAATTTAAAACCAAATAATGTATATTTAAAAGCACAAGAGAAGTGTCATGAAAATCAAAACGTCTTCATCTTCTTTTCTAAAATTCTTTTCTTATTTAAACTTCACCTTCCTCTGAGAATGTTGAACTTTCTGATGAAGAATATCAGGAAAAAAACCCAAACAATTAGCTCATATCAGCTGGGCAGTATACAGTTGTCCTGCTTGTCAGGGATTCATTCTTATTCACACATCTGAAGTTCATACTATCCCTCATAATCACACAGTCATGTTATAAGATTTTTTTTTTTCATTGGCTATTTCCCTTAAACCAGAGTTCTTTTCTAAATCATTGGATTACAGGGTACTGCTTTTCCAGATCTGGATGTTTGACCTGTATTCTTTGTTTGAATGAAACTAGCATTTCAAGCACCACAGCCTCTGTGTGGAACTGACCCATTCTTATCCCTTCTGCCATGCTGCCAGAATTTGTACACTGTGCAGTGATTCTTTTGTATTCAGTTCAATAATAAAGGTATTTCTTATAGTTGAGCCAAGAATAGAAACTTGTGCAATACCATTTGAAATACTTCTGTTTAGGAATGTATAAACCAAATTTTCAGTTGAAATCCATTTTATATTCAAGAATCTGTCAGTGGGTGTTGAACTAGATACTCATATCAAGTTTTTTCATCTTTTTTTTCTTGTAACTCTATACTTGTTTTTAAACAGAAGGTCCTTCACCATGATGTAAAATAGTTTGTCAAAGCCCATTATGTCAGTATAATTTACATTATCACCTAAATTTCTAACCTCTTGTAGTAATGATATTTGTGTGACAAAGCCTGTTTTATATAATTCTTACTGAATGACCTTAATTATGCTACCATACTCATGGCAAATGACATCCCTATCAGCCTTCCATCATTTTCTGAGCAATCAATACCAGTCTATCCCTTTAGGTCATCCCTTTTAACCTTCTTAATACCTAATTAGCTTTTTGCCATTTTTTTTCTTCTTTCCACATTATACCAATATTTCTTAAAAATCAGTGTTAATCTTCTCCAAAACCTTGTTGTTTTTTGAAGAAATTCAAGGACAAGGCTCTTCTAGCTCCTGTGAGATGCTGAGGCTGTCTCAACTATTCACACGTCTTATTCTCAGATGCTGGGAGGCTGTTTGATCTAAAGTTGTGTTACACCTGGACATATACAATGAGGAAAGGTGTTTCAAGTTTCAAACTGTATACTTGTTTGACTGTAATTTGGAGAAACAGGTTAGACTGTAACCTCTAAAAGTGGTCTTGGTGAGACCATACATGTTTGCTTCTTGTGTTTGATGGCACATGGTCAGCTGGACAGAAGGATAAAGCAGCATCAAAGGCAGCGTGTGGTAAGTCCCTGAGCATGGTCCCAAGCTGGGAAACAAGAGCTGTCCAGTGGCCCAGCTCACTCTGCCATGCCTGTTCTGTGGGACTTCGTGTACCTTGCAGGTAACAAACCTGCTGCTTCCTTTTCTGAAAAACAAAGGATGGCATCTGTGCGCGTTTGTTATGTATCAAGTAGTTGAAATTTTTATAAATAATTTTACAATTTTGCAAACAGTTTTACAGTTTAAAAATGGTAACACTGTATGTCTACCTCTTCAGTCTGGTCAGGCTTCTGAGCTACAGCCCACTACCTCAGCTGTGGTAGGGAAATAGGAAAAATACTCAGTCACTAAATGTGTGTGCATGATTGGGGAACCTGGCTTAGGATTGTCTTGCACAACAAAGGCGTGAAGACAGTAGGGGAGAGGCGTTTGCTTTGCTTTGAGTTTTAATAAACTTTTTGATACTTTGCAGCCTTGAATTTGGTTTGACCTACTGCAGCAAGGATCTTTGGTGTGGTAAGTTAAGGTATACTCACTATCACTTGCAATTTGAGATTGGTAAGAAGATGACACTAAAAAGACACCAGGTAGCTGGTGGCCTTATTGGACTCAAGTATCAGAAAGGATATATTAATATGTAAAGTCCAAACATGTGCAGCCTGAAGTCAGCACATGGCAGAAATGTACAAAGATTTTCCAGTATTCTTACTATTTTTATGAGCCATACATATACGTATAGACATACATATACATATATAGGCTTCTTTCTCTCCTCTGGCCTGAGGAACTGGACTTGTGACTTGTTAAAACTGCAAACAAGAAAGTTTGTTAAGTAAAACAAATCCATTTTACTCATAAGTATCTGAATTTATCATGGCATCATTTATTGCACGTGACAGAAAGTGATTGACCAGATGAAGATTGCATGCTATGCTTTGGACTTCAGAATGTGCATAAAATGTTGGTTTTACAATGCCCAGGATTTAAATGTTCTTCAAACGTCCAGTATTCCTGAAGCACATGGGATTAAATTATTATTTTAGTAAACTGATCCCCTTGAAGACAACAGAAAAAAAAAGCCTTAGGCTAGTTGGCCAAGTTCCTATTGATTTCCAGCTGGCAGGTTGATATCATCTCCTTCTTCCCGCTTACATAATGCAGTCGTTAAGAAGTAATGTCTTGCTTTCTATTTTATGATTGCATTTGATTTCTCTGAGAGTCTGTTGGAGAAAATGTGTGCAATATCAGCCTTTGTGACATAAAAAAAAAAATATTCCCATTTTCTATGTATAAAATTGGATATAATTTCATCTTTTACTTCACTACATCACTAATACATATCTTTGAAAGAAATGTGAGATCCTTTTGATACTTTGAGGGCAATAGTATGCAAAGCTATCATTGTTACACACTCTTTCAACTTTTTTATTATACTCTAGTCTTCCACAGCCCATTTTGTATCAGCTCTGGAACTGTGTGTGTCATCTGGCTTGGGAATATATTTGCTGTGACTACACTTGCCATGGGGTTTGCCAAGCTAAACAGAAACTGGCAAAAGCCTTCTCCATCCTGTGTCCAAAACAAACAGCCTGCTGTGGTAAGCACTTAGTCATGTCATTGTTTAGATGCTTATTTTGCTTACAAATCTCACTGGGTGGGCTTTCACTCTAAAACTAGTGGATTTTCTCAGGAAGACCTATGAACAGATTTCTCTGACTGTACAGCTGTAAACTAGTGTAGTCTGATTGACCTTAAAAAGAGAGGGAAATTGGAGGCAGCCACATCTAACTTTATTCTATTCCCACTTCCCACAGGCTTCACAATGTGCAGCTGCAGAACTAGGTCTGTGCTTTGGCATGGAATGCTTTCCATAGCATTTTATTAATGTAGTAGAATACACAGGTGAACGCATGTTTTCCTCTGGTTGTCACATCTAACTAATTGGTATTTACTGCTGCTGACAGTATCTTCTCAATGTACCAAAATCCAAAAGCAAAGTAAAAGTTTGCTTTTCCTAATGTGGGATTTGGTTATTATATAGGCTTATTTCAGTTGCTAAAACTTTGTCTCCTCTTTCTATGTAAGAAGCTACAGTGTACCTGCTGGCCTCTTGCTGCCACTCCACAGAAGTGAATGTCTCCCGTGTGGTGGTAATCTCCCACATGCACCTCCCTTGGGCAGGACAAACATTCCTAGACACCCTTTACAGATGGAAACTGGAACGAGCTCTTGGTGCCTTTTATCCAAACATCCTGCCCAATGACTGCTTAACCTTGAAAGTTTCTAAATGTCTTCGGAGATCTTCTTCAACTTGGTCTGCAGTGCTGCCTCCCTACCAAAATTTCAATAGATCCCAAAAGTAGGCAGAAGAGCATGCAAAATACCTTGAAATGAGCTTGCCTGGCTCACTGCCAAAACTGTGTCCCTCCCTAGTAGTAATTATATGTAAAGTGTTTCTAATGGACCTCTTATACCTGTAGCACTCACCAGGAGGCAGAGACATGCATGGGGTGCTCTCCTCCAACTCAGAGACTTCAGGTTCACAGCCCCTCTGGTGTAGCAAAGCACTGTAGCCATGGGGCAGTTTGATGTCTCCTGGTGAATCCAGGAGGGTGTGGCTCAGCAGCCTCACGAGGACTCAGCTGTGAAGAGGCAGGATGCAGTGGAATGGGGGGAGCAGGGCTCTCACTGCTGTTCAGGAGTCTTCTTCCCACTGAGTTGACCTATCTCAAGTTATGGAAGGAACTCAGGCATCTGACTGAATTTCATTCTGGAAGTCAGCCTGAAAGCTAGGTGTTGGCACCTTTAAATCTTTCACTGGGTATAACCTTAAACGGCAGGAAAAAAAAATATCTGAACCCTTCTTCTATACTTTTAATGATTTCATACGTATCTTTGCAATTGTGCACCCTGTAATGTTGATGGGTAAATGTCAGTGCTGACAGCTCTTGTGATTTGGGCCATAACTCTTGTGAAATATGTGACCATTTGTAAAGACCTAGAAGGTGGATGAAAACCAGGATGCACTAAGTTTCTATTAAAAAAATAAAATAAAAATAATTTTTTCTTTAGTTCGTATAAAAACCTTGAGAATTTGTCTTCAGTGGAAAGCTGAGGCCCAGAAGATAAATATGACTCCAAGTGTAATAAATGACCAACATTCCTAATTTCAGCTAATACAACTCTGAGCCCTGACATGACTTTTTGATTGAATTGTAGCTGCAGAACTGAACCTGGCAGAGTTATAGAACAGTCTGCTGAACATTAGAAGTGGTAAATGGATGGTGTGGGTACCAGACTGATCAGGCTCGAAAACAAGAAATCTCTCAGGTCATTCCAGAATAGATAAATTATTCATTCACCTGGCATTATAGATCACTTAATCATATATAAACTACTGTCTAGAAAACTTTTAAGTTAAGCTTTATTGCAAGCCTAACAGGCCTGTTAACTTTTTTAACTCTAAGAGAATATTTCAGGGTAATTTTTGCAAGGAGTCAACATGCACAGAAAAGTTTTCTGCTTTCCCCCACACTATTTTACATCATTTTCATTTAATGCTTTTTTTCTGTGGAAGAATGATTGTGTTACATGGTACATGCAGGCACTGGTGATATCAAATACAATGCATCAAGATGTAGTAGTCGTGTTACCACCAAGTATGTCCTCAATAGCTGCTGATGACTGCATAATTTTAGATTAAAAAAAAAATGTTCAGCCCCTCTAGTCTTTATGCAAGCAAGTAGTACCAGCCGATTAAAACATGTTCTTTTAGCAAAGCCATTTCTCCAAGTAAGGTTGTTAATGGATACAAATCTAATAACCTGGGGCTTATTTTAAGTTTTTAATAAGTTGCATGTGTTCCAAATACTCATTGAAGGCAGTGCTATTTTGAAGGGATGATTGTTAAGGAAAAAAAGTCTTTAAGCAAACATCAAATGAGAAGAAAAAATCTGAATGTCTCTATCAGCTGTTCATTTAATCCCAAAATTAAAATTGGCTCCACTGAGAAAGAGCTTTAAAAATTAGCTACATTAGCCAAATTAACTTCTTAGAGATTTTAAATTTAATTGTACAAGAATATTTTTAATTGGAAAATACCAGATTAAATTACTTTTTTTGTTTTTAGCAAATGTGTATATGTTTTAGTCTTAACTTCCTTTCAGTCAATTAAACTCTTTTCATGGCTGATGTGACAACTTTATATATTTCAATTCAGAAGCAGAAGCATTTCAGAATCCCAGTGAGGTGTGCTTGAGTGAAACATTCCTCCACAAGGCTGCAGTTATGAGTGTTGAGCATTAAAATCCTTTTTATCCAATAGCTAGTTCATGGGATACAGCTGTATTGCATGGAGAAACCTGGACCCAAGTGGACCTCCTTCTGGAAATCTTCTAAAGAATATGGATGTGCTGTACACCAGCACAAGCTTGCTTCAATTTCAGATTCCTCTGTGGAAGGTGTTGTGCAAGATTTTCATGGCCCCTGTGGGCTTGCAGGAAGAAAAACTCATCTGCTGAATCCGGGTAAAACCCTGTTTCCAATTAAGTTTTGTGTCGATATTTCCTTTCCCCAGACTATGTGAGGCTGCAGAGCTCCTCTATTTCAGCTGTGTGAGTACCAATATATCTGTGCTGGCAGTGATCTAGATTAGGCAGAGGCTGGATTTAGGTGGAAGGGATCAGATAAGATGCCCACACTGGCACAGACACTTATGGCTGTGTAATCAGAGCACACACAGCCCACCTGTGTGACCCAATACCTGCTGAGACCCTCCAGCTGGACTGTGCTCCTGCACTGAGAGGCTGGGTGTGCCCATGCATGGGCCTGGGTGCTGGTGTGAGACTCTGCTTTCCTCCTCCTTCCCAAGCTCTGGAGGAGAGGCAGCCCCTTTACATGAAGAGGCAGAGAAACCAAAGCTCAGAGCAGGAGCATCTGAGCTGTCTGTTCCGAGGTTATGGAGAAGGGGCACTCTGAGGGCAGTGAGGTCTAGTCTAAAGAAAATACACCCTTGTCAGTCTCCTGAGACTCCCTCTGTCATCACTGGAGAGAGACTGTGACATATATAAGTCCATGAACCGCCTTTTTAAAGTCACCTGTTTCAGGATGAAGTGGGTTGGTGTTTATATGCCTAATCCAATGGGGCATGTGAATCTTGGCTCCTGGGCGTCCTGGAGGATCACTTGTGAGCTCCAAAACTTGTCACAAATCATTCAGCTTAATGATAAATACATTTAGCATCTCATCACCTGTGACCTACAAACCCCAGCCTGAAAACCACTGGTGTAACCAACACATGTTAGTTAGATGTTGTGAAACCTGTTATTTTGTAATATGGACAAGCTCATTCAATGTGTGCTAAAGCTACTGAAGTTTGTTTTTGCTCATTGCTTCATGTGTTTGAAATTTCAAACAAGAGTCTGTGCTACGGTTTTAAAAGATTGTTAAGTAATAAAGATGCATTACCATGCTTAACATATTTTAATCCAATCTCACTGCATTTTAAAATGAGCATGAAGCATTGCATGTTGCAGTACTAATTTTGTAGCAGTGCAACTTCAGATTTTAGTGAGTACAGTTTACACTTATACTGGAATACAGTACAAGTGCAGGAAAGAAAAGTAATTTTTAAGTCTTTGACTCATAAATCCATTGAAATAATATGATCTGTTGATCAACAAACTAGTGTTTTTATACCACTATGTACTGTTTATATTATTTTCCCCCTGATATTAGGAAATAGAAGTGGAAGAAGTGATTTTCTGCCATTTCTTCTATGAGCTCTCATCCAACACTTAGCAATAGTGCTTATGTGGATTTATCTCACAAACAAATTAGTGATATTTTAAAACATCCGTTTTAATTTTTTTCTGATTTAAAATAAGTACAAGATTCAAAATTTTTCTGTGAAGCAAAAGTAATGAAAAGAGATGTTAGGGACACCTCAATGCTTAATCATTACAGGATAAAATATCTCTCCTGGCCTGAAACTGATTTAAATCTGTGTTATTTTCTCAATGTTTATGCAGCATTCCTGCAACTGAAGGGAACTGGGGCATTATCACTACAGCCTCCTGAGCTGCTTGAGCAAAAAACAGAATATCACCCCCAGCTAGCACATCTGTTTGGGCCCTTTCTTGAACACACTCTCTGCCCCAGGGGGTGTTTTTTGACCTGGAGCAGGAAACTGCACAAGAGAGGGAGAAAAGATGTGTAGAAAAAGTAATTTAGCGCAACAGGATCAGATCCATGGCGTGGGCACTGGGGCCCTGTGTCCACACTGTCCTTGCTCCAGGGGTGTCTCCTGGGACAAGGACTGCTCTGGCGGTGAGCTCTGGCTGCCCAGTGGAGCTGGGGCACAGTTTGTGTTCTGGCTTCATCGGGGGCTGATCCTGTTGGTTTGGTCCAGGACAGCTCTGTGGTCCAATCCCAGTGGTGAAAAAGAGGCATCGAAATAACAGTCCTAAGCTAGGATGCAAACATAGACGTGTGCAGTGAAAGTCATCCTGAAGAGTGTTTGAAATTAGGGCAGTTTCTTGATGTCAGGGAGTGCTGGTTCCAATCATTGGTGCAAGGAGTCAGGAAAAGGATGCCTTCATGGCAAATGGATAGCATAGCTACAGGGTTGGAGCTCCCATCAGTTTCTCCTCTAAATCCAGCCCTTTATTTTTAAATTTCCTTTTTGAAAGTGTGGAATTCAAACTAAAAAACCAAAACAAACCAAGAAACAACCCAAACCAACAAAACAAATAACCAAGCAATGTAATAGCACTTAGGGTAAAAAAAAAAAAAAAAAAAGAACAGATATAAGTTGTCTGATCCTCATTTATTTTATGTTTATGTCATTCATTGCTTATTTCATCTTCCTTCAAATGTTTGAGCGTTTCTAATTTAGTCTGCCAAATAAGATTTAGACTATGGACTTTCCAACTAGATCATTGTCAGTCTAAATACAAAGATATGAAATACATCTCTAAATACAGAGATGTTCCCAGAGGAATATTTTATTTCTTGAAAGCTCTTGGGTGGATACTTGAATTAATTCTTCTACTGAGGGAAAGGGCTTCAGTTTGAGTTCAAAAGCCTTTTTCCTCAGTTTTACCTGTTTTACTGGGCAATGGGCACACATATTTTCGTAGTAACACTTTGTGGGCATTTAGAGTTAATACTGAGGGAAAACACAAGGCAATGTGGGAGAAGCAGCTACAGTCATTAATAAATACACACATTTTTTGGTCAAGTTTTACAAGTATAGTTGTAGTAGTTGTATTTCACACTCAAAACAGCTCTATGCCATTCCTGAGTTGCCCAATGAGACCAGTAAGATAGGATTTAAGAGCTGGAAATGCTTCTGCTGCAGAAGCATCATCAGTGTCTGGTAAAATACTCACCTAATTATACCATTAGTGGTTACCTGTCTTCAGATCAGTTAAGCAATGAAGCACAGGAAAATAAATCATTAACCTTAATACCAATGACATGACTAAATAGCTTTTAGATGTCCTAGGTTATTTTTTAATACAATAAAATGCTGCTATCATAAGAGTACATTACAATGGGTCTTTCTTGGTTGAACTACTACCACTCATTGTTTTGCACTTTACTTACAGTTTAAACAATGAAGGGTTTTATTAAGATGACCTATCATTGACAAATTAATTTAATTCCCAAACTAGAGATGCAGAGAAGAACTCTGGATGAATGTTGTGTACACTTAATCTTCCTCCCAACAGCCTTGATAGGGAGTTTGTTGTTCCAGTTGCACAGAACCTATAGCAAGGTTATACACACAAGCTTTCTGATCCTCCAGTCTATTAAAAAAGTTCTACCTTCACTTTATAAACACAAGATCGAATTGTGTACATTATTTACAGCTGGTAACCATTAAATGAAATGTGAAACTTCTCCGTGAAACATGCCATGCATCATGCTAGCCTTTAATTAGTTACAAAGTCTAGCTCTCTTAGAGCTTCAGTGCAGTCTTTCAGCCCTGGCCCTCAGGCCAATACTGGGACAGTTTTCAAGACTGTAACCTCAATCTGGCATGGGCTATATCTATCTTAACAACTCACATGGGCCAGCACAGGTCTATAGACCAAAATATTTGATGCTGATGAGTTGATGTTCATATCACATGTGGATCACCTCAGATTAGCTTGGTCTGCCAGCAATTGTAACGCTTTGGGTGCAGTCCTGGAGTGCAGCTTCAGCTTCTGTCCTTCCTTGAGAGGAATCCAGTCCATGAGCCCTTAGACTGCTCTGTTACATTAACCAAAGCACATAATAAGAAGGGACGGCTGCAAGGTTTACTTCAAAAGTGTGCTCATGATAAGGAGTTTGTGTTAACGTGAACTGCCCCCACAAAGTACCGTATGATTGTAAAAAGTCATCATGGGTGAATCTTGAGCAGCAGCGTAACTATGTCTTGTTCATGTAAAGGTCAGCAAAAAACTGAACCCTGACTTTTTTTCAGAGGCAATTAATTAAAATGCTTACTTAATTTTGTGCCAATTAAGTTTTAGGAAAAAAGTAGAATTGTTTCCTTATAAATATATAACTTCTTAATAAATACAATTTTTTGCTAAGTATTTTCCACTTTTAAGTACTTGGCACAGAGTTGATTGACTTCTTAAGACCATTTTGACTATTTGTCAGCAACTCACTGTGGGAAGGGTAGAGGAAGGAATCATTAATGCTGGAGCATTAGTTAGCACCAGAACAGGCACAATGAGAAACTAGTCATGAGCTGGTGGTGTGTGCTCTCAGACCCTGAGCTGCTGTCTGTCTGTCTGTCTGCACCTTCCCATGTTCCAGTGGTGGACACACCTGGCTTTGATCACCTACACTGCAGACATTTACATCTGAGCCACTTGTTTAGACTCTTTTTATAGTTATGGGGACAAAAAGACATTTCTGAGGCGTGATTTACGTGTTCTGTTTAGACATCTATGATAATATCAGGTGACTCACTGCCTGGAAAGCAGCTATTTCTTCCCATTTCTGTATTTTTCTTTTACACAGTGAACCTAGAGGAATGTTTTAAATACAGGAGTTTACATCTTAGATGTTTGAGAATATCTCCTGAAAATCTGTGTATTTTGCCCCAGAAAAGTCACCTCTGAGAACCCAAAAATGTATTTACACGATTCTTACAGAACAGTTTCAAGAGGAATTGGCTAATAGGGCAGGCTCACACACCTACTCTGATGGATCTGGGCACACAAAGTGACACCATAATGTACCAAACATCACCTTGTGAACTTACATATCCACTCAGAGAATAACTTCAGGCCAGATGCTGGGCTGGGTATCTGTCTGCTGCCTGTATGGACACTGTGTGGAAGCCGTGGCTTTGGGGGAATTCTCAGAGCCTCATCAAAAATGCTCTCCCTGCTGCAGGGGGGTGGGTCTTGCAACATTTAAACTTACAATCACATTTTAAAAAAGGGGATTTTTTTGTTTCAAGTGAGTCTTCATTCATGATTTTGACAATTCCTAGAGCTACAATTCTGCTGCTTCTGCAACAAGCCATGAAAAGAAATGGCTATTCAAAGTAATGCCTTGAGTTCTAGACAATGGATTAATGATTTGTTTTCCAGTTGTCTAATAGGCAGTATTAAAAGTAGAATCAAAGTTTATAACAAGTTTTGAGTATTTTATTTTAATCTAGGGAGTAGACAGAGATTCTGTACACTTAGTTTAAAAAAAAAGTCTTCTGCCTGATTCTGCTGTCCACAGAAATGATAGGAATACCAGAGCTGAAGATTAGCTATTTCCATTCATTGCTAACTGAGAGGATTTTACCAAAAGTCAACAGGTTGTCCGGAACAAGGCAGAGCCTGATCAGCTCCACTTGCCTTTTGGCAAATTACATTGTATGCAAATACCTTACTTGGAAAGCTATATCAATACAAAATTTTTTACAGCTAGGTAAAATGCCTGTATCCATCTGCTGTCATTTAAGAGGAAAGGTTATGGTTCACATGTTGAGAAGGTAATGTGGCTTGGCTTTCTGATTTATAAACCTATTTTCTACCTCACCTCAAAGATTTCAGCATTTCAAAGGCTAGTGAAGTAATCACTATATATAGCTTTTTATCAGTTTTTGTAAAGTGGCTTTCAGTGAAAGGTACTCTTAAACATGATTTCATTTTTCCTTTTACTGAAGGACAAAATGAAAGACTAGGGGTTTAGAAGCAGCTCAGCTTAGTACCTCTGTAGACACTTGATCAATATAAAACCATATAGTCATTATATTAGAGGACATGCTAGTGGAGACTGTCCCCATTATAATGGTGTAAGAATGGATAACTCTCTTTGGGAGTGTTGTAATTTTTACTTAATTAGCATCCAGTCTCTTTTTAGCAAATTTTTTGTTTCAGTGCTGACTTCAGTGTTCTGGCTGGGGTGGGAGAGTATTTTGCCGGCTCATCATCCACTTCTATTTTGGAAACACTGTATTTGATTCATAAATATACTATATCCTTTACTTAAATGTAGTATGTGTCCACCCTTTTTGACTTCCAGATGTGTCTCCTTCACATTTCAATCACATTGGGAGGCACATTCTTATACTGTGCATTAAGAAAATCTGTCAAATTTAATGACATGTTTGGGAGAGATGTGTCACTGTCATCCTCTAGCTTTGTGCAGAAAAAGGAGATGTAAGAGAATATGACACAAGACTTTGACCAGTGTATAAATGAGGGCCAAGAGCCCTACTCTGCTCCCATGGCTTTGGCAGCCAGTGGTCAAGGCAACTCAGACACAAGGCAATGGTGTGACCCTGGGTGAGGCTGCTGAGGAGAGCTTTGTGAGAAAGCTGTAAGAAATCTCCTTTGGGTTCCCCAAAGCTGTTTCAAGGTCCGATATTCCTTCTTTGCCCTTCCTGGAGCTGTTTCAGCCATGCTTGTGCCTTGCCATGTACCTCTCTAATGAAGATTCTGATCTCCCAGCTTAACTTCCTGGCTTGACCTCAGACTTGCCTTAGCATTGTCACCTGTCTAGCAATCTCTGGGATATGCTGACTTTGGTTGCTGCCACCAGACCTGCTCTGCTCTGCTTCATAGTTTGGCTTTGGTGGGACTTAGTGTCCCTCCTGTTTCAAAAGTTTCAAAAACCCATTTACCAAACAATCTTCATTGTGCTGCTCCTTCCAGCAGAACAATGGTTTCCAGCTGCTAAAATCTTCTAGCATGATGGAGTTTGTTAGACAGATTTGGAAATTAGAAACTGAAAATATTCTAATTCTGAACATATCTTGCTGGAAACCAGGCTGCCTTTCCTACATGATGGCTTTCTTTTTAAAGTTTAAGCTTTTACATCCCCTGTTCATTACTGAAATGTTTATTTGAAATGAGCCAGAGTTGGAACCTTCTAAAGGTATATTCTATTAACAGATGGTTGCACACTTTCTTTGGCCTCCAGATAATGCTTTCTGTCATAGTTACTGATGTGAAATGCTTTTCTTCACCTTTTCTTTTTTCTTCACATAATAAAATTTGTAAAAAAAAAAAAAGTCTTAAAAAAGTGCACTCAAAGCACCCAAGTTTCTTTTCTTTAATGATTATGTTTCTTGAAAAAGTCAAACACATTTTTTCTGTAGCACCTTGTAACTCAGAATCCAGTAGTATCCACTATCACTTTAATGGAAGTCAGTGACTTTGTGGTTCTGTATTCTTTAATGGCTATTAATCAGCAGGCTCTTGCTGAACAGTGATTATTCAAGAGGTTTTATTGCCTTTGTGGGTTTAATTCCCATATTTGAATACCTCATAAAGTCACATTTCTCACGTAAGTAGCAACAAAAACCTCATCCAGAACTCAGAGTGTCTTCATACCATTTCAAATTTAAGAAATAATCAGCTCCATTTGAATGTCATTAAAAACTGTACTGGTGATTGTGGTTATGGAAGAGGGCCATTGGAACATGAGTTACTTTGCTGAAATCACTGCTTGGATACACAGAGGGTCAACATCTTCTGTGTAAAAGAGGCACAGAGAGGCACAGATGAATTTGGTTTTGCTTGGCTTTAAAGAGATGTTTACAGTAAGAATTTATTCCAGGCAGTAGTTAACCTGCAGCCTCTCAGGCTGTTCCTCTATGGTCCATTTTGGCATGGTCCTGCCAGTCTCATAACGTGTCAGATGCTGCCTGTGATGGTCAGGGTTCACAAATAAAAACCCATAATTTAAGATGCCCTTTATGACAGATTGGTCTCCAGAACTGGATTTCTTGCCTTCCAAGTTACTTGTGCAGGTAGTAGCTGTCACCAGCACTGACATTAGCCTTCTGTCGAAACTGACATTAGCTACTGTTGGGTCTGACTCAGAATGAATCCTGCTCAGAGAATCATGGATATGTTTTGCCTCTCTCCTGTGTCATCTATCCTCACGGAATGGCCATTTTCATGTGAAGCTTTTTATTATCTTCCCTGCCCCACCCCTCCTCCCCTGCCCCCAATTAATTTTCTCTGCTTTTATTTAGTTAAAACATAGCTAACTTCAGTTATGCATTTATTTATCATATCCCCACCAAAAAGTCATTGTGGTACTCACTGTAAATATATGTAAAAGATACCCCCTCAATGCCCTCAAAATGGTGCTATAGAAAAGATGTGGCTAGAAGAAAGAGGGGGAGGCATCAGGTTACGTTCAGGTTGGTGGCCAAGCTGGAGGCACATTGGAGGTTTCTGTATCCTAGTCTTTTGACCCCAGCCTGATTCTCCACCTGCAAGATTCACACAAGAGTTCAGGCATCACCTGTGCCCTCAGGATATCGCTTCCTTTTGCTTTGCTGGACTTTCTGTTTAGCTGCTGGAGAGGCAAAGTATAAATGCAGTTGGAAATTGGTCTATCTAACACTGATGATAACTCATACATGGCTAATTTTCCTGATGGGAGTAAAGGAGGATGTCTGTTTTTAAACGGAATTTTGCTCACGGTTGAACATCAGGACATTGAGTCACCTATATGACTATATTCCTGATTTCTGAGACAGATCATTGAAACCACATCTCCTCCATCTTCTGTCATGGAAGGTTTTGAGAAAAAACAAATGCAAACATGAGATAATATATCCTGCCTAAGACCTGGCTGTTTTCCCAGTGCCATTTTGCAACCTTTTCCATAAGAGAAGTTACAGGCTTGAACGACTCATCGAGCATTGAGTCCCGTGGTTTGCCCGAGGCCAGCCTTTAACATAAACACGAGCAGTAACACACAACAAAGATGATCATGGAAGCGCTGGTTGGACATATTTAAGCACTCCTGGAATTCCTCCTTCCAGCAATGATGTTCTAAGTGAGACAGCCCCGGGCAAAGCGAAGAAAATGTTGTTCCCTTTAAGGAAAGTAGTTCAGACTGGCGTGCCGTGGGAGGATGGGAAGGTCTGGTTGGTGTCAGGATCCTGCCGAGCCGGGCCCCCCGGCCCTGGAGCCCGTCCCGCTGCAGCGCGCGGCGCCGCGCCTGCAGTTGCGGGCAGCGCCCTCGAGGTGGCGCTGTCTCACCGAGGCTGAGCGGGCGCTCCGGGCGGGCGCTGCGGCCGCGCCGGGGCTGCGCTCCCGCGGCTCCGCGGGGCCGGCCCGGGGCTCCCGCCCGGCGGCGTGGGGCATCCCTGTGCGATGGTCGTGTGCTGGGCAGGGCCTTTAGGAGCGGAGCAAACTTCCAGAGCCGTCCGGCGAGGTGCTCCCGGCTGTGTCCCTTAGCCTCCGGGATGGCCCTGGCTCCGGGCTGCCGAACCTCCCTGGTGTCAGGGGACAAATGAGAACTCCGCCACCCGGCATCCGAGCTGCGAGCCAAAACCGGGGACGGGACAAAGAGCGTCGGGAATCATCCTGTGGCGGGAGACACGACTCCGCCGCCCGCAGAAGGCGGGATGGGGATGCAGGCTCCGCACCCTGGGGGAGACCGCATTAAACAGAGCCGGCCCGCGCCGGTGATCCCCCTCTGTCCCTCTCCTCGCTCCCGCAGTGCCACAGCCTCAGCCTTCACCGGCTTCCTCTGCTCAGAAATCCCGCGGTACGCGTGTGCCGGCACCGCGCCCCGGGCGGAGCGGCTGTGCCGGGGAGGGCGGTGCCGAGCGCGGGCGGGCGGGCCCGGAGCCGCAGCCCGCGACCGGCTGGGGATTCACGTGGAGCCGCGCCGGGCCGTGCCGTGCCGCGCCGCGCCGTGCTGTGCCGTGCCCTGTCCTGCCGCGGAGCGTCGCCTCCTTCAGCACCAAGAACAGCTACAAGTGTGGCTACGCGCCCGCCCCGCTGAGCCGAGCCGAGCTGTGCCCTGCCGCGCCCCGCCGCGCTGAGCCGTTCCGTGCCGTGCCGTGCCGCGGTTCCGTGCCGTGCCCGTCCCGCCAGAGCCGCGGTAAGCGCAGGCAGCGTCGTGCCGCTCCCTCCGACGCCCGGGGCTCCGAGCAGTGGGCTCCCGGCGCGGGCCGCTCCGCCGGCTGGGGCCGGGCCGGGGGCGGGGGCTGGGGTGTTTTCTTGCTTGGCTGTGAGCGGCTCAGCCGGGGCGGTGCGTGTGTCTGCCGCTGCGACTGAGCGGCAAGGCAGCGGAGGGTTGGTATAGTCACGGGGGCTGAGCCACTGACCCCAAAAAGTTACCTTTGTGGATTTTTTTTTTGGTTGTTGTTGTTTTTTTAGGGTAGGGGAAGAGAAGTGAGGAAGGAGTCAGTGGAGCAGGT